CAGTATTTAGAACAAATACGTCCCCAAACTTCAGGAAGTTTAAAACAAACAAAAAACTTGAATTCCTCTCTATTTGCCTTGTGAGGATTCACCTGGGATCATGTATCAAGGGTGATCAAGGGTGTTTTTGTTGCCACTATAAAGTTCAGATACTTCACTCTCATGGTAAAAATCAAACCGAATCTGAAACTTCCAGCCATCAATATAGCTCTAGATCAGGGGCTCTGGGAACATCAGTATGAGGGTGGCTGGGCTGTAATGAGTTGTTAGTGCTGATGTGAAGATGGAGTGTTGCAGAAAGATCTCGTACATGCACATTCTATGTTGCCTGCGGCTGGGTGTCCTGCCCTGCACTGCAAAGTCCAGTGAGTCACTGATGTCCACAGGAGGTTTTGAGAGCTTTGCAGGGAGGTTCAGGTGCAAAGGAACCCTTAAAAGCAGAAGAAAGGAATTTTCCTCAGCTGGCTTGACCACCTCTGACAATGTCTGTGGGAGACAGCAGAAGACGGGTCATCTTTCTCACTGTGTCCCAGCTCTCAGAGCTCAGCACAAGCAGCTGGAATCAGACCTGCCCATGATCTCCTCCCCTCTGCCTCCCCCCAGGCTGCCTGTTGTTCTGGTTGCTCTCAGGTGACCTGCCTGAAGTCTCTGGCAGAATCAAAAAGCTGTATAAGAAAAGCCACCATGCTGAATATGCTGAAGAGAGCCAGAGGTCATTTAGTCTAGGTTATCCTTGTTCTGTCTGCTGGTTACTCTGAGGAAGTCTGGATTTTGGCCTGGTGCTGTCTCAGCAATGTGTGCTCTTGCAAGGCACCGATGGGGAAAAAATTGCAGCAGAAGGGCAAGGATTATGTTGCCACAAACCGTTACACTCTTTTTAGCCTTGCAGGGCTGCTTGCCACGTGTACAGTGGTCTGCATGTTGAAGGCTTGCTGCATGGGCAGTGAGCAAATGAATCATGAGCACTGTTCACTCATAGGAGCACTGAAGTGTCACAGTTCTTTGTCAGTACCCGTTATTGTACTGTGCTTTGGGGGCTGGGGAAGGACAGGGCACATTATACACTATTTGGATTTTGTTATTGCCTTCCTTGAGATTGCACACTACTGACTGGCATCCATTACAAGAAGTACTTAGAAAGATGCTTCCAAAAGCCAAAATGAGTGAAGATATGGATGGACCATATCCAGAGCTGGTTTATGACAGCTTACTGCAACTACTTCTGTTCCTGCAGTTCTCTGCCATCTGTGAGTGGAGGAGACCTGCTGATTCTGACTACTGCTCCTGCTGCTACATTTTGATGGTAGTGAACACTTTAAAACAGAGATCTAATTTCAAAAACACCAGTAAAACCTTTGTCCATCAGAAAATTTCAGTTTGATGAAATTACTTTCCATGTAAGGACATGAGAAAAATTGAAGTATTCTCCTTGAAAGTTGGTTTGGGTTTTTTTTCCTGCCAGCCAAATCTGTGCTAGCTGGCTGAATACTCCTCCGTTTGGTGCCTTCTGCCTGATTGCGCAATCGGCACACATTTCTTCCTCTCCTTGTACGGTGGGCTACCACCGACTTTCCGCTCTGCTTCGGAGGGGACAAGAACCGAGTGATGTGAGATCAGATCTATGTTGTCCTTGTTTGCAGCAGGGGTGGAATATATGAACCTGCTGTGCCACTGCAGTAGTTGAAAAGGAGGCTGTGGAAAAGGAGGCTGGTGGAGAAGCAGTATTCTTGCTGCTGTGGCAGGGGTGCATGACGTACAGACAGTGAAGGCTGGCAGTTCTCCTTGTGTCCTCTGTTCCTCCATGCAGGAGACAATGCACTTCCTGACACTGCTGTCTGTTGTACTGCCCTGTGGCTGCATGCTCTGAGGTTTGCCAAGGCACTGATCTTCAAGTAGGTGTTGTTCCTGAAGAGCCAGAATCACCCACCCAGGTTTCCTCTGAGACACCAAGCAATGGCTGGCTGGCTGGGTCAGTTAGCCATGCAAATACCTGGCAAGTCTTAGTTTTCTCTGGCAGAGTTTAAAGATCTTTGTGTATTAGGATCCTAGCCCGCTCAAGCCGCTTAGTGACGTGCTCAAGGGCTTGGCTCAAAAATAGTTGCAAAAGGGCAGGTGGGAGAAGGACTCAGGTCAGAGCTTTCGTAGAACATCTTTAAAGCAAGGAGGAGGTGCTAACTGCACATGCATGATGGGTCTGTACAAAAGGCTGGGTAATTCTGTCCCACTCAGCACATGTGCAGGTGCCTGTGTGCCCTGGGGACACCATCAGAAAGAAGGCTGCTGCTTTGTGTTTTGCATTATTATGGGGAAATATCTGCCAAAACTGCCTCTTCTAAGATGCCTATTGTTTGGCTCAAACATTCTGGTTTACTGAAAGGACAATGTGGGGTTTTTTCTTTTTTAGTATTCCATCTGGGTTTTTTAAGCATTTATGTTTGTTTTTCAAGCTTTTCTTCCTTGTTGTGCAGGTTAAGAGACTTCCTCCAGAAATTCTGTTTTGTGAAGCACAGCAGAAGCATAGAAAGGAAAGGCTGTCCTTTCTGCAAAGAAGTAAAACATATGGGGCAGAGGTAGAGGGTGGAACTGCCCATGGAGGTAATGAGAAAGCACCAGAGAACAATTGATCTCAGTGCATCAGTAGCTGAAGCAGGTGACTTCTAGGCATCCAAACAGAGAGCCTCTTGTGAAGAAAGACCAGCTGCAAGCAGGACTTCCCCCATGGCTCAGAGGGGAGTGTTAGAGCATTTGAAGGGATGTAGGAAAGCCAAAGCACTTTATGCTACTGAGGAGAGGTTAAGTCAAAGTCAGAAGATGGTTGCAACCACACTGTTGCATGAGTTTTACAGTGTCTACAGAGCTGACAGTCAGAAACAGTGAAATACTGAGGCTAAAAGGGAACATGCTAAGCATAGACGATGACTGCTCAGGCCTTGGTTTGACATGCCCTATGTGTGTCTTTCAGGCTGCAGAGCTGCTACGCTTCTACTTGTTATGTGGTTACTTCCCAGTCACCCCCTGGAAAGGGAGCAGATTTCCCATCCTACAAGCTCTAGTTTCCTTCAGAAAACACCGCTTGATTGCAAGCGTATTCATTTTTGGTTCAGAGATGCTGCTCAGCGGCAGATATAGGAGCAGTGTGGCTGAAGGAGCAGTTTTGAATTGTGTTGCATAAGAAAGAGCAGCCAAGAGAATGCTCAATAAAAGAACTCCTGAAGCATTGAATTTTATGGCCCTCTTTTCTGTCCATTGCTACACAGGCAGGTAGTGAAATGGGCCAGAATGGCTTCCTGGGAGGGAAAGAGACATCAACAAATGTTGGTCCTGTCCTCTCATCCTTGTTAGAAAAGATGAGTTAGGGGGAGTGTTTTGAGTTGGGAGGGTGCTGAGGGGAAGAGGTCCAGTTTGTGTTGAGACAAAATGTTGTGTGCCTCATTTCTGTCAGCTTCCAAACATCTGTTTTATATCTTGTTATTCTGAAGTTAACTTACTAATATTTCTGCTACAGCAGAGCTCCTGCTATGGACCAGCAGCCCACTGTCCTGTGCACTGTCCCAGCATAACAGACAATGTCCCCGATGCGCAGAACTTACTGTCTGAGCAGAAGACACGAGAGAGGAGCTCAGGACATACAAATCTTGCAAGCTGACCAGAAGACACAGTGTGAAAGGTGGCTATAATAATTCTGTTTCCTTGGTGAAATACAATTGAAATACAAAGAGTTTATATTCTTCATGACTTCTTGTAGATGCAGGCATATTTTATGTTTCATTTTGTGTTTGGTTCACTTGCAGCCCACAGTTCTTTCCAGTGTTTGAATGAGTAATGAAAATGGTATGTGGCTGCAGGCTTTCTGTATCTTGGAAGGCACAATGTTAAAGTGGCAAATTATCTGGTTTGATAGGGGAATCATGGACTGGCAGGTTCAGTTTGGGGTCTGGAAGCTGACCTAGCCTTTGCATCTTCAAAAGAAGGAACGTTTTTAGGTGCAGTTAAAGTCACAATGAATTAACCAGATCTGAGCCAAACCCTTCTAATGCTGCAGTTCTTCAGTTCAATAGGACTAAAAACATCCTGTCAACAGCAGAGGGTACACGCACAAGGAGCAGGTTGGGTGAGTTACTATTTTCATATTGTTGAACTCGAGCTTTTAAATGGAAGATCCAGGATGAGCCACTCATTTTACTGATTTCTGGAACCACATATGTTTGCAGAGCTGTAGGACTAGTAGATGTCAGTACACTGCACCAGTTTTATCAGAGACAAATTTGAAGTTATGACCTTGGTTTAGAGACTGCTTCTGCAAGTGCAAACAGCAGTGTGCAGCAGCTTGCACTGGCCACTCAGTTTCTTGCTTCATTACTGCTCTCTGTAGAATTTCTGTGGCTGTATTAATCTGAGGGGAAATCTGTCACAGGGAGGGAATACACCAGCTCTCTGCCTCCCCAAGGCAGCCAGGAGTTGGCTGTAAACCTCACTGTCGTGCCCTGAAGTGTTTGGCCCACCGAGGCTGAAGGCTGCGTACTTGTCCCTGAAATGATGGTCAATGGAAGAAGCGTGTCTAGTTTGCATCAATGTACAGGTGGGTGTTACCAAACTTATCGTTCAGAGATCTCAGACTAAAATAGAGAAGGGCTTTCCTATGATTAGGTACAGCAGCTTTCTCTTATTGAGAAAACAGATCACTGGATCCAGAAACCATGAAAAAGGAATACAGAGGTTACTGGGTCATTCTCTGCCATAAGAAGCTAATGCGCTCTGACCACCAACATGCACTAACCAAAAGCGCCAGGCAGGGGAGACTAGATGGGCAGGAAGAATCATAGTAAGTGTTACAGATGTTAACATCCTCTGTTAAAGCACGTGGTCTTCCCTAAGTGCCAATGGATCTCCTTATTACAAAAGAGTTGTGAACTGGTATTGATAACTCTGAACAGTGTCTAGAAGATTTCCTCAATCTTTTATCATTCTGTTTTCCTGTGATTTCTGTCACTTTCAGGTAAATGGAAGATTTGGAGACTAACTTAATCCAGACACGCAAAGCATGTAGAATAGAGCAAATGGTAGCAAAATGGCTTCATCGCTCTCGGGATGGTGCATCCAGGTAAACATGTTTTTTGTGAAAGGAATATCTGTTGATCACCTTTGATCAGAGACTGCACAAGCTTGTTTCCAACAAACAGGGGCAGTCACAGGTTGCAGATCTTACTCATTTTTTCAGTTGTTCTTGGGAAATATGCAGTAGTCCCTAGAAAAAACAGAGTTTTTAAGCATCCCCCTTGGTTTCCAGGGACAGATGTTCCTGCTTTCACCCATTCTGGTTTTGTGAGCCACATCTGCCGAAATACAACAATTCTCAATGCGAAATGTGCTTTTCTTCAAGATGGGGTTGTACTTCTCTTTGTGTCTTACCATTGGCCCATGTTTTTAGGGCAAGACTGGGTTGCAATTACAAGTGATCCTGGCCCACAGCTGCTTGACTTTCTAAGGTTTGTGAATCAAAATTAAGCTGGACTGGATCCTGGCAGAAGCAGAGAGCTGTAAATTCTCTCACTGCCTTGCTGGGTAAAGGTGTTGCTGTGATCTGTGGAGGTCAGGGCTTGCTGTGGAGCACACCTGGAGTTCTCCCTCCATGTTACGACTGGGCTGGGGTGGCTGAAATTGTGGTTACAACCAACTGGTGCCACTGGCCTGATGTCTTCAGCTTTCTGTGGAGCCTGGGGGATCACTGCTGGCCTGCACAGTGCAGAGCCACCCATGGGTATCCAGAGAAGTGCTGGCCTCTCTGTGTACTGGTGCAGCCCACTGAAAGTGAGGGTGTGTGTATGTGTGTGGATCTATGCCCCTTCGATAAAGTATCTTCTGGCTATATCTTAATTAATCACTGGCTCCTTGTCTTACAGGGGCAGAGTGTCTGTGACAGATAGCACCAGTGAAGGCAGTGGCCGGCCTGCCAGCCGTGTCAAACTTACTGTCACAGTATACAAAGATTTGGTCCTCCATCACTACGGCTTTGAGATTTGTCCAAACCTTCCTCTTACAATTGCATCTGTCACTGCAGGTAAGCACTGTTTCCTTCTCCCTACAATCACAGGTGTGAGAAGCCTGAACTGTCCCAGATGGCCTTAGTGATAAACTTCTGCCAGGTATTTATGAGTATTTATTTACCTCTGGTTGGCATGTGATCCTTGAATACTGAGGGCAAAAGCCTGTGTGCCTGTGGCATGCAGAGTGCTTGAACATCTACCTGATTCTGATGGCATGGAAGAAATCTAAGCCAATGGCAGCTTCACTGCTAATCCTTTGCCTGCACTCGGACACAGCTGACCTTCAGGGATGCAGAAAGCTGCTTCAAAGCAAAATTCTTACTGGTCTTTTATCTGAAATGCAAAGGAAGAATTTCATCTGATCTTAGAGCTCTTATTCTGCAGTGGCCCCAGTTGAAAATGCTCTCTGGGCTTACAGCCCTGTAATGTGGAGAGGATCACTGCTAGTTACAGGCAGCCCAGCTGAAATTCTGCTTAAGTCAAACAGATCAACTCCTCCAGTTATAAATGGGAGGGATATAACTCTGCTTTTAAGGTGGCTTGGGGGTTTTGAATCAAAAACTGTGAATCTGTTTTTTATTTACCTTTTATTTTTTTAATGGGTACACAAAAATGCCTGCTTTTTACCTGTTGGTGTGAGTGTGACAGCCAGAGAAAGACTATGCCCGAGCTGGGCAGGTAGGTGTTGTGGGGAGCGTGGCTGGAGGGCTGGCCTGAGCTCTGCCTCTGGCCGCCCATGTGGGCTCTGACATCCCCCATCTGCCTGGGGGAACAGCCTGCCTAAGTGCTCATGCTTGCGGGATGTTTAGCATAAAAGCACCAGTATGGTCTCTGTCCTTTCAGAGTGCTTTGGACTGAAATTTTCTCTTTATGCCCCTTCCCATGTGAAACGTGGCTAAATTAGCTGAGAGTCTTGGGGTCTAAGAAGTGGGGAAGGGGGTTTTCTGTTACGCTTTTCTTTTTTCCTGATAAGAAAGAATCAACATTTTATTAAAACTGAGGCACAAAGAAATCTGTCCTTTTAAGTCCTGTCTTTTGCTGTGGGACCACACTGCTAAAAGCACTGTGTTTAATTCCAAATTATTGTCTTTGTGTTTTGCCTTTCATGTATGCTACCTGACACCGGGGTCTCCCTGAGGGATGGGTGGCGGGTGCTAGGTGGGTTCGTGGGCAAACCTATCTGGCAGAGAAATTCAATAGTGTGCCTCAGCCAGCGGGCTGGCCATGGTGGAGCTGGGGCCTGCATGCATGCTCCTTCTTCTCAGACCAGAGGTCCACCTGCTTCTTAGCCCCTTGGATCCTGCGGCTGCTACTCTCCTGGAAAGCAAAGCTCAGAAACCATATTTTTCTCTTGTTGTGGGTCCTCCCAGCAGACAGCAGGGCTAAGGAGACCTCCTCCGTGTTCTGAGTTGCAGAGGGGAGTCACTGTGCTGGGAATCTAGGCCACATCTCCTGGGGACTGCTGTAGCACCTTGGTCTTCATGGTGGCATGCCAGGAGTGCCGAGCTCTGGCCTGTGCGCTGTATGTGGTCGGCCGCTGGGATGTAACCAGCAGGGTCAGGCCAGGGTGCAGAGAGGGAGCACTGTGCTGCAGCAGCTGCGCAGGCCCCCGGAGGCCTCTGTGGGCCCAGGGCGCACAGGCGGGTGAAGGGCAGGGCAATGCTGCTACCCCCGAGTCCTCCTGTGGTTTCTTGAGAGCCTGTAAGCCCTCCTGCTGCACCCCAGGGAAGGCAGTGTCTGAGGACTGTGTGGTGGACTGTGGCAAGGGAAAAGACATGCGCAACAGTGATTTTCTGTGGTGCAGGGGCAGCTTGTGGAGCCAGAGGACAGCTCGGGCGAGGCGGCATGGACACGGGCAGTGGTACACCAGCTGGCATAAGGGCCCAACGTCCTTTGGCCCCTTTCTGTTTTGCCATCCAGAGGCAGTTGCTGAGGAAAGTGGGTGCCAGGTGGGAAGAGGAGCTTGCAGTGAGCATCCCCTGTGGGAGGAGGTCTGCTGATGTGGTGCTGTCATGACTAACAGTGTGCTGGTCGCCCGCAGGGAGCACCGCTGAAGGGAAGCTGCAGCCGGGCGACCAGCTCCTCCTGATAAACTCTACTGCGGTGGATGATGTGTCTGTCGAACGAGCAGCTGACATCATCAGGTGTGGTCCCGCATGGCCTGTGGGGACGAGGTGGCAGAGGGCTGAGAGGAGAGGTGTGGGGACCGGGTCTCACCAAGGGTTGCAAAGGTGTACAGCTGTGTGGGGCCGGCCCCCCTGCAGAGGAGGACCTCGCTGCCTCCCAGGGTGCTGCGCATGGTGGGGGCCTGTCCTACAGGGATGAGTCCACCCTGCGGCTGAAGAGCACAGCAGCCCAGGAGAGAGGGGTTCCCCCGCTTTCCTGTACTGTGGCAGTGCTCAGTGGGCTGCACCCTGCCTCGCTGAGAGCCCTCCCTCGCAGCGGGGGCAGAGGGGCCACAGGCCTCTGCTGGCGCTGTCTGCCGCGACGCTCGGGGGGAAGGCGCAGGCAGCTGCTAACCCTGGCTGACTGCATGTCTCTGTTACAGGGAGGCCGGTGATGAGCTCCTCCTAACCGTCCTGCGCTGCACGTCGGTAAATGGCCTTTCTTCAGCACTCTCAGCACTCCCAGCAGCACTGCCTCAGATGGCCATGGCCGGCAGTGTGGCCCACAGGGAAGGTGGGGGCGGCTGGGCACGGGCGCAGCCCACAGGACGCAAGGGCCCGACTGAAGCCGTGAGGGAGCTGCGAGGGTCCTCTGCTTTCACACACGCACTTTGAGGAGGTTTTGGGGAGAATCAGTGGTAACTACTGACAGCTCCCCTGGGTGCAGGGCCAGGGTGGCTTGCAGAGCCTGTCACACGGAGAGGCTCACTGAGCGGTTTGAGCCCATGCTCCCTGGAGCTGGAGGCTCCATCAGGAGCTGTGAGGGCCCAGTGGGCTCCACAGGGGCCAGGAGGCCACAACGACTGGGGTGGAGGTAGGTCTCCTCAGCAAGCTGTGGCCTGCCCACCAAGAACAGCCTGGAGTGCTGCGCACATGCTGGGGCTGTCTGGGCCACGGGAACCCCCCAGACACAAAACGCAGAGGCTGAGGCTGCAGGCCCAGTGTCTGCCGTAAGTGTTCCTTGGAAGCTCTTGAGGTTTTCCTTTCTGAGTGCTGGAAAAATGTATCCCTTTTTCTCCAGGCTCTGTCTGGTTAAGGGCTGGGACCTGGATGTGGATCATACTTTGGGAATAGAAGAAGAGTTTTAGTACGAAACTTTGGTGCTGATTGCCCATTCCTGTAGCATAAAATTCCCCGGAAGGCATTTACTGCCGAAATGGTGTGTTTATTCATGTGGATTTCAATGTGTGTAAAAGCTGAGCTGCAAAGCAAGGACAAAATTGGGTTTGTGTGCTTTTTGGCTTCTTGTGATGTATGAAAGTGGCCTGAGGGGGACTTCCCCCCCGCCCCCCCTGCTCCGCCCCTGAAAGCATTTTGGGAGTGTTTTTCGTTTGTTTGGAGGTTTTTTTTTATTTTGATTCATTCTTAGAAACAAGAATGATAATTCCTTTAGAAGAGTTACTGGAGCTCTCAGGCTTAAGGTCATGAGGTTTCTTGGCCATTCAGTAAAGGTATATTAAAGAGAAAATCTCTTAAATATATTTTTCCTGCCCAAAGTTTCCCAGGTGTTGGCGTTTGACGGATGTGCACAAAGCCAAAGTAACCAGAAAAACTTTAAGCAAACCCACTGAACAGTGGCTTCCCTCTTTTGTTAATCTGATCTCCCTTGCCTAGTACATTGGCTGTCAGTCTTGCCAGTGCTTGATCTGCTCTGGAGATCAAGGAAAAAATAAGAGTTAGTTATGCAAGACCTGAATGCCTGCCAAAAGGGGGAAAATGCAATGGCTTTTCAGAGAGAAAAGGATTCCTTCATGGGATTTGGAACACCCTTCACAGGCCTTCATGCATTGTTGAGAAGCAAATGGGGCATGAACCCATTTTTGTTTTTTCCTTTGCAGGTCACTTTAAGGACACCTCCAAATACAGCCAAGGCTGATCTTGGGTTTGGGGTTGGCTCTTGCCCCACTCTGAAGGCAGCTGTGCTTAGAGCTGAGAGGTAACGCCTCCCATCGACGGATACCAGACGCTCTGCCGGGGCTGCTCTGGCCATACAAGAAGAGATGTGGGAGGCCTTGGCCCTCCTCTGGGCAGCTGCGGGGCATGATGCTCCGTACAGCCCGGCAGACTCTGGAAGGGCTTGCTGGCCGGGCACAGAGACTCCTGCCTGCCTCCCTTCCTCCGTCCTTGCCAAATGGCCTTGGGCAAGATGGGACTGTGGCAGGTTGGGAGGCACCTGCGCCTCTGGCAAGAGTGTAGGAATTGCTGTACCTCGAAGTTGTCTGGAAGGACACTGAGGGATACTGCCTCTGTTTTTTTAGGGAATATTGTGCTTCACAAGAGCAGGGCATTTGCACACAAGAACTCAGTGGTTCCTAGGCTCATGTGGTGTCTTGTGAGCTTGGTAAGCCCCTGTCACGGTGCAAGCATGGTTATATGACAACAGTGCAATGAAGTCAAGTTGGCTCTTTAGCCTTGGGCAGTTTTCTTAAACATTTGCAATATGTGAGTATGCTCTAGAAACCCCAGCTGAGCTGGGAAGTGCTGCATACACAGCTGTGTTCTTGTGATACACCGACAGGGGGTTTTGTCTATCACTGCAAGGCACTCTGCATGTGTTGGTTTATGGTGCTGTGTAGCCCCACTGCAAGCCAGCTGTTGGTAGATTAACAGTCGTTCTGCAGGATCCTGACTTCATTGCAGGAGTTGGGGAGATGCCTAAACACAGTAACTGGTTAGCATGCAGTGAAATTAGGAGTGTGCACAGCATGTGTTGCACATGTGTCCGCTTGTTGGACAGCTGGGTTTGGGTTCAGAAGGCAGCAACCACCCAGATAGATCAAAAAGGCCTGTAGCAACCCTGGAGGCTGGGAGACTCCTGACAACACCTGTTCCTGTAAGTGCGAGGCAATGTGGTGTGAGCAGCTTCAGCATGGGCTGTGACCGCACCCATGCCTGTGCTGTGGGCCTCTGCCTCTCGTACCTAACTGCAACAGACTGAGCTGCCAACCAAGTGCTGTTATTTTTTCAGGGCGGGCCTAAGTCATCGTTTCTCACTGCAGAGAAGAGGGCAAGGCTAAAAACAAACCCCGTGAAAGTACGGTTCGCAGAGGAAGTGCTGGTCAATGGAAACACACAGGTCAGTGGGGCATGGCTGCAGCTGGGCGCCGTGGGCACTGCATGCTGGGAAGAAATAGGTCACTCCTGCGGACAGGTGCCAGGCTGCGTTAACGTGGCCAGGTCTACAGAGTGGCTGTACCCTCACTGTGCTAGTCTGCCCTGGATATGCATCCCAGGCATCTGGTCCTAACTTGTTTCCTAGGCTCACTGGTGACTGGGGGGAAGCGCTGGCATCTCCAGAGGGTTTTATCTTTGATTTGCTTACTTAGGCTAATGGTAAATACCTGCATGTACTACTTTTGTCCTTTTACCATCAGGTGAACTTTAAACAAGCATTACACAGCTGTGGGATGTAGTAGTCATCTCTTGAAGTGCTAATCTCTCCGTAGTAAGCTTAGACTGAAGTTTGGGCATGACAAATCCTAACCCTAAAGATGAGAGGTGAATCCTACTGTCCATGCTAGGTTTATTTGCTGCCAAAGTAGCTGGGGTATCTCTTCCTGGCCTTCAGCAGTGCTCAGGTAGCATTGTGTTCAGAGAGTTTGGTACTGGTGACTTTGTTTTGCTGTTGAATTTGACATATGTTCTCTAGCTGATAGGGTGACAGCTGCTTGTGTTTCATATCCTTGCAGAGGGTTTCCACAGAGCATTCACAGCTGCCTCCATAATAGACCGTCTGTAAGTTGAGCCAATCTGTTCTTACGTGAAACAAGATCACGGCTCACTGGAGGAATGCTGCAAATTTATCACAGGGTTTCTAGCACTGATAACAAATGAGCTGGGTAGATATGGGTCTGCCTGTAGTAGAAAAGGACAAGCAGTGAGAACACTTGTAGCTTCCCCGAAGTGAGAACAGCTCTTAAATGTTTCCTTTTTCTTTCTGTGTAACTTACTAAGCTCAGTGTGGTTGGGATGGACTGGGGTCAGTTGGGAGTCTTTAACTCTGTTGAGTTTTCCTTTTTCCCTTCGGAATGAAAAATTTCAGCGGTCAAAATGGCCCACTCCTGTCCCCTACTCATTAGTACTGTTCAGTTGTTCAAGTCTGACCAAATCTTGTTTCTTTGCACTTCGCAGTGATGATGGACCAGCCACTAGGGCCTTTTCTTCTTCTCTTCTAGGCTGTCTCTTGTTTCCCATCTTTGGTGGTAGGGAGCTCTTCTGACCGAGCTCAGGCAGAGCCTTCCCTGTGGCAGGCGTTTCCTCTTCTCCTGCACTAGGGCAGAGGTGCAGCCAGAGGTGCCATGAATGTCACTAGCCTATTTGACAGGCACAGTGCTTTGGCAAGTGTGCCTGACTCCAAGCATGTCGGGACTCCGACTCCTTCTCCTTCTCTGGCCTGCTCTCCAGAGCAGGAGAGGGTCAGGTGTGACTCCTGGCATGTTTGCCAGTAAGTCTCTCTAGACTCTGGGATACATTCCTTCCTGCCAAGTTGTTGCCAGACGTGCTGGAGCTGCTTCAAGGCTTGTCTCTGCTCTACCAAAGGCTGTGTTCACATCCCTCAGATCTTAATGACAGGTCTGTCTGGGATCCTGCCTGAGCATTACGGCAGCTGGGCCACCCTTCCTGACATAGAAGCCAGGTACTGGACCCTTCATGTGGTTGGGAGACGTGGCACACAGGCTACAGAGCTCACAAGGCTGGGAATAGGGAAGAGGAGGATGTGCTCTGGAAGTGGTCCCAAGCAGAGATGACTGAGAGGCACTCTGGCTGATCGTGGGATACAGCCAGACCTGAAAATGCCAGCAGCCTCTGCTTTTTCTTATAGCTGGAGGTTCACACTAGTATCTGCTTGGGAGCTTCCATGGAGCTGCTTCAGTTAGAGCTTGGGCACTGGTGTTGCAGTGCATGGAGGTCTCAGATCTGTGCCATTCACTTACTGATTGCAAGGTAGGTCTTGAGAGGTCCGAAGAAGGCACTTCTGGAGTGGACGCTGTACTCTGCACTTCCTACAAAGCCTCTATCAATATTCTGCTGAGCTAAGTTAATTATACCTTTGCAAGTGCAGAGGAGAGACACAATCAATATATAGTTTGCCATTCATTTAAGGAGAACATAAAGGTAGAAGAAATTCATTCGGGTGTTGGGGTCCCACTGGTGTTAGCTTCCCTTTTCACCAATTGGATATGGATCCTGTTTTGAACAGTAAAATATTAGCATAAAGGAAGAATAAATAAATTTGTTGCATATTTATGACTTCTTTCTGGAAAAGCACTATTCACCATGGACAGCAGCTACTCTGCTTGAGTGTTTTAGAACTGCTCTCCTTTCAGCAGACTGATGTATTAAGACAGCCAAAATGAGTATTATGGCCCTGAAAAACTGCAAAGCCTCCTGTTTCAGTAAATATACTACTCTTGTTGTCTTAATGGAGCATTGCTAAATGATCTTTGTGGCAACTGGAAGGAACCCAGAGGCTGCCTTCCGCAGTTGAAACCTGAAACTCCAGTTTGGGAACATAAATTGTTAATAAGCCTCAATGCTATCCAGCCTTTATTTTCTGTTGTGAACTTATGTATTTCCATATAACTGAATGGTATGCAAGAGACAGGTCCCTCAGGATCCTCAGGTCAGCATCAGTCAGTGTATTATTAGAAGCTGTGGGCCTAGCTGTAACATGGAGTAAATCAGCCTTGCACCAGACAAAACAGGAGGGGTAGAGCTGCTTAAGCCATAGCAGAAGCTTTCATAGTAGTCTATTAGAGCCTGCACAAAAGGAGAGAAATCCCATCTGTGTGTTCTGGCCAGCTAATTGGATCTGACCAGGAAAGTGGTGATACTTAATTTGTATATGAATTTCTATATAGATTTCAAGTTCTGCTGTGTGCTGGCTGTACAAGGCCCCATTCATATGATAACCTGCAGCTGCAGGAGCTACCAGAGAAAATGTGCAGTAAACCAACATCACTTTTCTGAAATTGATGGAGGACCCAAAGCCTGTCAAAGATGTGATGCATTCATGCTACTTAGCATGAAGGAGTTAGAGCCTGGGCTCAGGAATAGTGGCAGTGTTCACTTTTTTCTCAGTGATGACTGTAGGCAGCTTGAACCCCACAAAACAGGGAGGGGAGGAACAAGGAACAAGGTTCAGAAGTGTTTTATGTTTGTTCTGGTAGTACTGCCAGCATATATAGTCCCTCTGTCAAGAGGGACCAAAGTTGTGAGATTTATAAGGTGTTGCACAGCAAATGAAACATAGGAGACATCATCTTAGAAATGTCATTCTCAACCTTGAGACTGTCATGACAAGTAGATAAACTCTTTAAGATTGGAGGAACGTGCTCGTCCAAGAACATAAGATATGCTGAATGGGAAGTCCAAGGGTGAAGGAGTAAACCTTCTCAGCACTGAACAACAAGAAGAATAAGGCTGAAAACAAGAAGAAAGGTGCAAATGAGCTCTACTAAAGGAGTAAGGTGGAAGGCTGAAAGGTGCAGCTCTAGACAGCCCCAGAAGGACAGAGGCCAAGTTCCCAGACCTTTCTCAGAGCACCCAATGGAGGTGCTTTTGCTATAGGAGTCATTGCCTTGTCTAATGCATTTGAGACCTATCTCAAGAAACTCTGGTGACATGATCTCCTGTTTGGGAAGCCCCAGAGTCACAAATCTTAGGGGAATGCTCAATAAAAGTACCACTGCATGTTTAGCTGAATCCTACAGCCTTGCCGTGGTGTGCAAGATCTATTCATGGTAACATGGAGGGTTTGGGTAGCTCTTGAGTTGAAGTCATGCCATTGCCAGTGGGAAAGTGTCATGGTGGGCGTTAGTGCTGCCTGGTGCCTGGTAATGGGAAGATGTTTTTTTCCAGCAGACATCACTGCTTTTCTGGTAATGAGCACAGAGGATGGCTCTCAGCTTTCAGTATCTGCCAGATCCTCCTATGCCACGTGGGAACTGAACAGTGGGCGTATCTGGGCCATGTGCAGCTATTGCACTGGCTGGAGTTTTATAGTAAAGGCATTTGTTAGGCTCTCTTTCCCTTGTTCCGTACCAGAAGCATAATCAGGGAATATAGCTTGGTGCCACAGAAGAAGATTGCAAAAGCAGAGAAAGATTTTTACTTATACCAGGATGTGCTGTGTCAGGCAGAGCAGCCTGGTGCCCGGAGGCTTAATGTCCAAGGATTAGTGCTGTTGCTTTTGTTCTGCAGGGGAATTCTCTTCTTTGTATGCCCAACGTTCTCAAGGTATACTTGGAAAATGGACAGACGAAGGCTTTCAGGTTTGAGATGAGCACTACTGTGAAGGTAATGATGCTTGGTTGTCTGTCTTTGTTCCTACCACCTGAATTCAATCCAGTAGCAAAGGTGCATGCAGTGGAACTTGCAACCTCTTGGTTGTATTGGCCAGCTAGTGGGAACAGGATTGCCATCTGATGCTGAGCATGCTGGATTTTCCATGTCCTTCCTGCAGAGGAGGCGTTGCTTTGGTTCACCTGTTTTCTTCTCAGCAACCCATTTTCACAGAACTTGCAGGAACTTGGCTATGAGACCACTACAGCTTTGTGAAGTGTGATTGAAGTTGGGCAAGAGGACAGGTTGGTGGGGGACTGGCAGATCAGTAGCTGTCTGCACAAATGTTGCTTTCCTTGTAAACCACATGGCAAAATACAGAGGAGTTTGTTTAATATAGCAGTGACGATGTGCATCCCTGAGAGGGAGAACAAGTCTCCTGGCTTGGGACCTGGACAGTGGAGTCCAGGTTTGGATATCATGTGAACTCAGCAAGTGCAATTGTGCCAGTCGTTACTTAAAGTGCCAGTCCGTGTTCCAGCCTCATTTCTGCACTGGTGAAAATGTTCCCCTGTAGAGACATGAAAACTGATTAACCCTTGAGATGGAAAAGCAGTACCACCTCCCTAGGATCACTTGTGCTTGGAGGCATTATAGACAAGTTACTATCATTCTCTTCAAAATACAAGGTGCTGCTCTCCAGAGCCACTAATCTAGCACTTTCCATAATTGCCGTGTTTAGATGTAGGCTTACAAACTTTAAGTTTCTCTAGCCTGACCTTTAGAGTTGCTCAGTGTTTATGTTGGACTTAGTAAGATTTGCCTGTGCACAGTGATTGGAGGTCATAATTTCTTTAAAGGATATATGATGTCCTGCAGCAGTGCAGTTACTGTGAAAAAGATGCATGATGGACAGACATTCTGGAGTTATTAGGCTGAAAGAATATTAAGGGGAAAAGCAAGGTGATTTTATTTATAATGCACTGAAAACTTTCCTCAAAAAGGAGGAGTTTATTGTCTAGTTCATCCAAACTTCATAAAACTGTTGTCATCTCTCATGCAAGTAAGTCTCCGCAAGTCTTGTGACTTGCAGGGCAGAGAAAAAGAAAATAATGAAATAAAGCAAGGAGGTAGTAAGGAAAGGGGACATGAGTTGTAAAGAGAGATTTGAATGCCCACCTGCAAGGGATTAATTTCTAAAAGATGGATTAGCTCTTCATGTTTGACTTGAGTTGCTCACCTCTGACCTGGAACAAATTTTTCCCTACTAGAGTTGAGTGCAACCCTCACCAGCGTCCTCACAGAAACACTGAAATGGGTAAAATGCTTCCTAAGTTAGGTGTTTTCAAAAGTTCCTCTGCTGTTTGAGAGATCCTTGCTTAAAACTGAGATGAGTCAAACGTTTATGCTTACCTCAAGAGTCAAAGGACCTCTCTTTCAATTTGTACTCAGTCAAGCCTTATGTAATGTTTTCTGTTTGCCAAAAATAAACCTAGTTTTTTCTATGACACTTAGTATTTCAACAGAATTCTCCATACAACTGAAACACCAGTTTCAGTCAAATTTGGTAAGATTTTTACAATTATGCTCTGAAATTCTTGTTTATTGATGGGGAGAAGCGTTTTTCACCAGTTCTTTATAGTTTCTTCAAAAAGTGTTGTAGAGTTCTAGAAAGCTAGAATGGTTAACAGCAAACATTTGGATCAAGGGTGACAGAAAGTGCTTAACACCACCAAACTAAAAACTGTAAGGCCAAAACTTTCAGCATGAAGCAGCCCAGGACATGCAACTCTAGGAAATGGATTTGATGCCTATTATGCCTTGAAGTTTGCATCTTACTGCAGTCTTACCGCAGCAACTGCAGTTTCCCTATCTTGTCTTCCTGATCTACTGAAATATGTTGTCCTCCCTTTATCTGTGCTTCCTCTGCAGTTCCCTTGACTCCCTTCCTTACCAACTGGCTGGCATCAGTGGACATGGGTGGCTCTGACCACCATCCTGCCGACTGCCTGGCTGGCATATTCGTTTGTTGCTCAGACATCCAGCTGGGATAGCACAGCAGCTAACTGTCAAGCTTGTGCTTGGTGTCCCTAAGAGGTTGCCCCGTACTTCCACTTCTGATGAACTTGCAGGCTTTCTCTAACCTTGAGACCTCTGTGGTTTGTCTAGGTCAATGTGTTCCGAAGCTGCCAGTGAAGAGGGAAAGGCAGTACATCATACAGGCACTGGTTTCCTGTGAAACAGCACTAAAAATTTCACTCTGTGTTGCAGCACCAAGCATGTTCTTGGCTGCAGAGAATTTTGTGTCTGGCCCACTGCCATTTTCAGTGTTGTCCCACACAGCTGCCAGTGGCAGGCTAGAATCATCCACATTCATGCGGTGTGCTAGCAGTGCTCAGCAACTGTGTCTAAATTCTGTTTGACCATCTATGTGCCTTCCCTTCCCAGGACATTGTTCTCACCTTGAAGGAGAAGCTTTCCATCCGGAACATCGCGCACTTTGCTCTTGCTCTGGAGGAGCAGTACAACGTGGCAAAGATCCACCTGCTCCATGAGGAGGAGCTCATTGATCAGGTGAGGAGAGCCCCTCACATGCCCCTGCAGCCACACTGGAGGGGGGCACCAGCACCAATGAATTGTGGCCAGCAAGGTGCAGAGAGAGCTCAGCTCTGCAGGTGTCACAAGAGGGGGTGAGCTTGGCACCATCTCCAGAGTTGCTGTCCTCTTCTCTCTGCCTGTTGCATGTGTTACCACTGCATTAATCAGAGCCCCTGGAGAAATGGTGCTTTCAGAAGCGTCTCACTCCATTTAGAGAGCCCACAGAACAATACCCATGGGCTGGTATTGCTTGGACTGTGTAGAGCAATTGGGGATGAGCATTGCTTTGTGCCACCTGTCACATAGGCCCATCTACAGAGCACTATCTGAGATGATCTTAAAATGGCTGCGTACCCAGCTATTTACAGTTCCCTAGGTAGTCAGAGAGTTAACCCAGCCACATGCCACTTTGATTAAATTCTAAATCAAAAGTTTGTGTCCTGCAAACATGAAGTTAGCTCTGTTAGTAATTCTGTTGCTCTGCTAGTAATTCTGGGCTAATCTGATTTGTGAGAATGTGCATACTTGGGAGTCTCATCTCCATGCTGTTGACTTTGTTGGTTGGTGATCCACTGTGATGCAGGAGGTTTGGTAGCTAACACTGTCCAACCACTGAGCACATGTGCCTGAGAATTTCTGCTTTGTTTCAGTTGGTGAGCTTGTATGGGATTTGCCCAGAATAAAAGATGCTAATATATAACCCAGGGGTCTTAACGTTGTATTGACATTATGTTGATGATCCAAGTGTCTGTTTAGGGCTGTTGTATCTTATGACTGAACTTAAAAGCAGAGAAGCTTGCCCCTTCCTCTGTCATTATCATATAGCCTTGAAGCCTCTGTCCTGGTTATACTGCAAGTATATGAGATCAATGGATATTTAATGAAGTTTTGCTGTCAAAGGACTTCCAAGCTACCACAGGCAGAAGCAAAAACCAGAGAAAGAATCGAAGATAAAATTACAAACACTAGCAATGTCTCCTTGTATTTGCTAAGGACAATGGCTGATCTGCAGCCATCCCACTTGCCAGTAGCTTTAAATGATTTCTGTGAGTTCATACAAGCCAGAGGATTACTATGCATTTATGAAAGGAGGTACTACAGCAGTAGTTGTGGCATGATGCTGTTTGTCTGTTGCAGGTGGTCCAAAAAAGAGAATCTCACGACTACAGGTGCCTCTTCAGAGTTTGCTTTGTCCCAAAGGATCCCTTAGACCTCCTGCAGGAAGACCCAGTTGCCTTTGAATATCTCTACCTGCAGGTGAAATCGAGGCATTCCATGCTTCAGGATCTCTTCTCACCCAATTCTCATTTCTGCTTTAAACCAAAGCATACTTCAGGCCAGTTCAGTTATATGAATGTGAAATGCAGAGCACTTAAGAACAGAGCATTTGGATTCAACTTGCCTTAAATTCTTGAATCAACTTAAATGCTTGGCTTTTTAACAGAATGAGATTGAAATGAGCTGGGTGGCTCCCTTTATTTGACGCATGGTAGTCATATCAGAGGTCATATCCTGACTTCTTGAGCTCCCATCATCATGCTAACTCAGCTCTGTTTGTTCCAGAGCTGCAGTGATGTGCTTCAGGAGAGATTTGCTGTGGAAATGAAATGCAGTGTGGCGTTACGTCTGGCTGCTCTGCACATACAGGAGAGGATCTATGCTTGTGCTCAGCCACAGAAAGTATCCTTGAAATACATTGAGTAAGTTCCCAAATTTCTGTGTTATGTTGTGACTAGGCCTGGCAAAAGAAGGAGCCAACTAAATGTGGCATCAGCTCTATGTTTGCCCAGTGTTTAACTCTGGATATAAGACTGTCTCTGACCCAAAGACACTTGTGCCAGTCATTTTAGGGCAAGGTGGCTTCACGAGCCTCCCTGTCTTTAACGTGATGAGCTTCTTGAATAATATGGACGGTATAACATCTGGGCATGTCCCTAAGCAGAGGGAGGTTCTGATCTGTAGCTACAGCAGGGAAATGAAATTGCAAAACTCTCACATAGTTATGGTTGCCCAGGCTGCTCCTGCCAGTATACTAAGATTTGCATGCTGTAGCTGAGAGAAAGTAATCATCAACTTTACACAGCCAGTACTTTACATCTGTTCATCCACCAGAACTATATCAGAAATATCTAATTTCAGTAGAATCATAGAATCATAGAATCATTGAGGTTGGAAAAGACCTCTAAGATCATCGAGTCCAACCGTCAACCCAACACCACCATGCCCACTAAACCATGTCCCTAAGCGCCTCATCTACACGTCTTTTAAATACCTCCAGGGATGGGGACTCCACCACTTCCCTGGGCAGCCTGTTCCAATGTTTCACCACTCTTTCAGTAAAGAAATTTTTCCTTACATCCAATCTAAACCTCCCCTGCCGCAACTTGAGGCCATTTCCTCTCGTCCTATCGCTTGTTACTTCAGAGTAATAAGTGATAGGTCCTGTGAAGTAATGGGATCTGGAAAAAAAATACCGAAAAATGCTTTAACAAGCAGCAGGTGTGCTGTGCTACACGTCAGTGCTGTTAGACCACACTTGCCCTAAAGAACAACCCTGCTTTAAGAACTTGTGATAGGCCAATCATTAAATAACAGACATTTGTGTGGTAACTGCACCATTAAGCCTCCACCCGCCCATGCAAGAACTACTGATTCCTTGCATACAGCCAGACATACCCAACCATGTGCAGTTAGTGGAGAGTGAGAAGCGACTACAGACAACTGCAGCATTCTTAGTTCCTGGATATTTAATGCTCGGGCTGAATAAACTCTGCAGCAGAACAGATGGCCCACATTTTTGGGTCTAGGGAACTGGAGATGTTAAAATGTAATACTCTTGTAACCAAAGTAAAGTGAATGTAAAGACAGAATCTTCATCCTCTGGGTGGCAAGGACAGATTGGGACCATTATGCTGACTAAGCTTGTAGATTGTCTCCTGTATAACGATATAAAAACAGGCATTCTGCATGAAAGCACGTGTTCCTCCAACCCTATCTCCTGACCCAGTAGCAGATGCACATAGAAGTGAATTCGAGTGAGGCAATCATGTTGCATGAGCCGTCCAGACATGTTACAGCACCCTAAGGCTCGGTGCATCCTGGACTGGCGTGGTGCCTTTGCCCTTCTCTGCCTCTGGCCAGCTGCTCTTCTGCACATTCCTCTGTTGCTGGGGGACAGCACAGCTGGGACCCCTTTTGATCCCTTCCCGTTTTTCTGGCAGGAGGGACTGGGGAATCGAAAACTTCATCTCACCAACTTTGCTTCGAAACATGAGAGGGAAGGATATAAAGAAAGCCATCAGCTACCACATGAAGCGGAACCAGGTGCTACTGGACCCTCGGCAGAAGGTAGTGTGCATCCCCTGGGTTCAAGGTGCCTCCCAGGACGGGGGCAGCATCTCTTAGGGCCAAAGAGGCAATGTCTTTCCTCCGTGGGTCTCCTCTCTATGGGACCACTTGGGGCTTTTCTCCTATCTTTTCCTCTTGTAACTTCCTCTGCTGCGCATGCACCCTAATTTCTGTGCATAGTGTGTGTGTTGCAGTTTGCTTGTGTGGTTACCAGATGGCAAATGTGGTAATGTGGGATGGTCCTGTACAGATCTATTGCCTATCCAGACCAAGCTAGATGTGTTGGTCAAATACAAAGTCCTGTACGAAAAGAACATCTTCTAGCCTACAGGCTACCTGTCAAACCTCATTTGTCTGTCATGTTTCTAAACAGTATTTTTTCTCTTGCAAAATGAAGCATACGCTCACAGCAGTCCACGTGCGCCTGAGCTACCTGCAAATACTGGGAGACCTGAAGATGTACAATGGGAAGATCTTTAATGCCACCCTGATGGTACGAGTACTGTTTATTTATGTAATTGGGTTTTGGCATACTATCTTACTGCCTGGCTTTGTGAATCTCGTATGGCAGTGTACTTGGACAGTAACTGCAAAGATAGGGCATAAGAAGCAGTTTTAACCCTTTTTCTTCACCAGTGGGTAAGATCATGTGTTAACCAAAGCAAACCCTATCTAAAGCAGAAATGTTTAAATATTTTTCTAAATTGATTGTTGATGTGAGACTAGCAACCTCTTACTGAGTCTCCTTCCCTGTCTTTGCTTTGATGTTCATAGAAAATGTAACATTAGCTCTGGTGATGCTGTTTCAGCCAGCTCCAGTCATACCACTTTTCCCTGTCCTGGGACATCATGATAAATATTGGTAAGGGACTCTGCTAGGGTTAACTCAGCATAGTTCCATTGACATGAGTAACATACCAGCCTACACAATAATTACGCATAGTTTTTCTAATTGAAAGTTGTCACTCTTGCTCTTCAGACGAGCTCTGTCTAGATTTTCTGTGTCCTAAAGTACTTAAGAGATCTGGGGGGAGGTGTTCAGAAACTCCTGAAAAGATATTGGCCATGCTTAAACCTTACTGTAAAAAAGAACACTGCTCTTTTCACAAGAGGTTTCTTGGGGTTTTTTTTGCCTGTCCTCCATTTGGATCTGTACTGAACTGTGGACCACAAGCTGTTTTGTACAGAGAGCTGAGCAGTGTAGGTAGGTCTGTACTAGAGGAGGACCTTGCTGATGGGTTGTAGTAATACCTAGGTTTACACTTGTGTGCAAATTGAAATATTTCTGCCAAATTATATAGGCATTAATTTATTTTTTTTTAAGTGTGTGATCCTAACAGAAAGTGCTGAAATTTCTTCCAAAACCAAAAATGCCTTCCTGAAGTTTCTAGCCAGCTCCAGTAGGTCTCGCTAGGTCCACCTGGCACAGCCTGCCAGGTGACACTTCTGATAGCAACCTGCTGCTGACCACCTCTTTGGATCTGCTAGATGGCTGGTGCATCTCTGGGGCCCACCTGCCTTGGGGGCACAGGGAAACTGGTGGTCCCCAAGCCAGAGAAGAGAACGGCTGGGAGCAGGTGACCTCACAGCCTGTAAGTAACGAGGGGCTCCCTTTGCAGCCCAGTTGTAGAGTCCAGTGTTAAAAGGTATCACACAAGATCGGGTGGCTGAGGAGTCCCTGCCCAGCACAGGTGAATGGGTTCCTGCTCAGATGTTGGCTACAGATTTAACCTCTCCCCCTACAGCTACAGGACAGAGAATCATATGTGGCCTTGCTGGTGGGTGCCAAGTACGGGGTGAGCCAGATTATCAATAACAAGCTCAACATCATAACAAGTCTGGCAGAGTTTGCAAACATCAGCAGGGTGGAGCTTACAGAGGAGTCTGAAAAAGTGAGCATGGTGAAAATCTACCTGCAGGATCTGAAGGTAAGCGGTGCTTTCATAATGACCAGCGTGTGGCTGTGTCAGGGCCAGAGAACAAGGGGGGAGTCATTCACACCATTTATTCTTTTCAAAATCTGACATTTAGCTGATGGTATCATCAGTACAAAAGGCTTACTACAGACTCAGAAGGGAAAGCTTGTAGGAAGAATACAAAATGACTGAAGAAAAGTGATTCTTCCTGCTGTCCTCCATCAGTGAGACATATCAAAGAAACAAAATGCAAGAACAACAATTTCTCTTCTTTCTCTGTGCCTCATGCAAAAACAGAGTGCTCTGCAATGATGGCGGTATGGGAGAGAGGGGATGTCTTTTCAGTGTGCAACATGTTCCTGCAGATTGTGGTACAAGCAATATTTGTCTATTCTAACATTTTTTACTGTTTTCTACTCCCCCCCAAAAAAAAAAGCTGCTGACTCTGCTGCTGGAATCGAACAGTGCAAAAGATCTTGTCTGCCTCATCATTGGCTATTACAGACTGTTCGTGGATGCAAATGTCTCCATATTTACCTGGGGAGAGAAAAAACAGCAACTGCACCGTGTCTCAGCTGAAGAAGGTTTAAAAAAAGACCAGCCATTTTTTTGCCAAAGGATGGGGAGAAAGTGGGTGGATCCTCCAGCATTAGAAGTGTTATTCCCTCCTGGGAATAGCATCATGCTAGAACAGTAGCTGAGGGGTGTGCAGTGGCATCTGCAAATTATTATATCAGCCTTGGTGCAGGCAGTGCCAGGGTTCCACCAACCACAGACATGTGGGCAGGGGAAGAGCAGTAGTAATTGTCAGCTTTTCCCAAGAAGTGAAGGCTGAGTGCCTGTCATCAAAATAGCAAACTTGTCACTGAACACTTGTACTCCTTTACCAACCTCCTAAACAACTTCCCCTCTGCTGGCATACCTTGGCCAGGAGAGAGACAATCTGTTTGCCATGCTGTCCTGTCCCTCATCAGGGTAACTCCAGCCTCATAGGGGTTGCAGACTGAGGCTTTAGGCAATGAGTTAGCTGGCTGCTGTTCTGCAGCTCCCTCTGGTATTGCTCTGCAGTAAAACCAGGCAAAGCAGGCAGGAGGGACCGAGCCTCCACGGACAGGTTATGGCCCTGCAGGTCAGACTGCATCTTCACCTTGTTTGCTGATGAGCAACTGAGGGCAGAGCTCTCTGGGCTTTGAGTCCCTGCTGCGCAGACAAGTTCATAACCCTTGTCTGGCTGTTCCTCCTTGCCACTGCAAAGGACAGGCTGATAGATGTGTTTAAATCCCAGGGTATGAATCTCGAACCTGCAGTGACTCTGAAGACTCCTGGGAGCTGGATTCCTCCTCAGAGCATTGCTTGGACACTCCAATAGCATACAGCAGCGCCCATCCAGTGTGCAACGAGGAGGAGCTAGGAGAGCTCCACAGCCTGGAGAAGGACAGCACAAAGCCCCAAGCTGGAGGGAGTGACCAATGTGATGGGGGTGACAATGCAACAGACAGCACATCTGAGGGTTCAGATTCAGCCAACACCGAGAGTCGAGGGTTTAAGACAAGTGGCTCCAGTGAATCTATGGATGCACTGGAAGAAGATGAGTTGGAAGCTTGCTCTTCCTCCAGGCCGGAGTTCTTCCACTTCTACACACCAACAGTGCAGGAGATGAGCAGCTCAGACAAGAGCTTCTTCCCAATTCATGCTGCAGGAGGCTCCAGCAGGGCAGAAACCAGAGACTCCTTCTGTTTCTTGCAGGTACCACATGCAGAGGAGCCTGAGAGTGAAGACAGCCCCTCTGAGCAGAGAGGGGAGGACATTGGTGCATCTGTGCTGGAGACCAAGCTGTCTGAGAGAAACACTATGGGCTATTACAGCCTGTGCTACAGCATATCCCCTGCAGGCAGCGTGGAGAGGAGCAACATCAGTCGCAGCCCTCAAAGAAATCCTTGGAAAGATGGGTCTGACCAGGAAGAGGCACCACGTGGAGCAGAGCAGAGGGCAAAGGCAAGCGATCTCATTTTGGAGCCGCCCCCAGGCTTTGGTGACACCAGCTCTGAGGAGGAGTTCTATGATGCTGCAGACAGGCTCAGCCCTCCAGATGCCGTGGCAGGTAAACCCTCACCCACTCGCTGCAGGTCACCTTCCTTCCACCCCCCTGGGCTAGGGTGTTGCCTGTTTCCTGTGTCAGTCTTCCTGGAGGGATCATCTTTCAGCTCTTCATAGTTTTCCCAAGATTTTTGAAGGACCTTTGAACACCCATTCTTCATAAGCCACTCTTCAGCAGAAATACAGTGGATGTGCACACAGGGGTCAGAGCTGCAACTTTGCAGGGCGATTTGTCATCACATCCAAGCATTGGATCCCAGAAAAAGTCAGTTTTCAAATTAGTTTGGCATTCTGGAAAGTCCCCAGGTTTCTGCAGGAATTCCAGAATACTGATGTATGGCTTTGCCTGATCCTGAAACCAACACGCTGCATGAGTAAGCTCTGTGCATCCTTCTGTGTAGGCTGAATCTTCGGTGATGAAAAGAGTGATGAGTTCCAGAAACAGAATATAGGAAAAGCTGTGTGTCTTTGCACTGACAGGGAGCTTTATGGCAAATATTTCCACTGTTAAGCAGTACCTTCACTCTGCTATCTTCCTTCAAGCTGAGGAGAGCTAAAAGCTGTAAAACATTATTGTTCCATGCACCCCCAAGATCAAAAATAATTTTTGGGTCAGGGGCATGTTATGTAACTGGGTCAAGGAGTCCTGTGGCTGAGCAGCTCCCTGGTAGTTGTATTTTCTCAGAAAGGAGAGGATTCTTGTTTCTGAAATAATCAGCTCTTTCAACATTAACTAAACTTTTTAAGAATTTGTTTTGTGTAGTTAGAACAATTTTGGCTTTTGCATTCAAGCACGGTAACAATACCATGTCCAGGCACAAAACTGTAATCTCTGGCAATTTTTATCATCTAAATATCCAGGCTGGGAATTTCTGATGTTGTTTCTATTCAGTGTTAATAAATCTACAGCTGTAGGCAGTGCTCTCTGTAGCTGCTGCTAATATCACCAAATTTAACTTGAGAATTATAGCTGTACCTGCAGTCAGATCAAGTGACTCTAGTAAACAAGGGGAGAGACGATCCAGCACCCTTCATCGCTCATCTTGGACTTCAGTCTTTGTAGCCGCAGACCCAGACTCTTTATTTTTCTTGACATAGCTGACTCCAAGTAGGTGCTTGGTCATAACGTAAGAGGCAGTTTCCTTTGGCACTTGGGAGCCAGGCTTTGCTGCCAGACATTTATGTCTGCAATTGCAGGACCTGTGTTAAGAGCTTTTTGGCCCACTGCATAGATGCATGGATATTCTGCTGCCTGGGGCTATTTCCTGACTTGCATGTTTTTTTTCTTGCCAGCAGCCTACAATATGACATCCTGGGAGGGTACAGACAACTCCTCCTGCATCCTAAAGAAACCAAAGTGTTACAGCTTGGGGGAAAACCTGATGACAAGGCAGACAGCAAGGGAGAAACACAGAAAGGAGAAGGAGCTAACATATGCCAAGAGCCTGAGGAAGAGGAGATCTTTCGTGAAAACCGATTACACCTCACAGGTCACTTTTCCCTTGGCTTTGCCAGGCTCTCTGCAGAGCTGCTGCTCTTGGCCACTCCCACCACTACTCCTTGCTCAGCCCCCAGCTTCACGCTCCTCAGAGAACATCAAGAAGGATGCAGAGCTGGGACTTCCTGCTGCCATCCAGGCCCAGAGAGAGACTCCTAGCACAAACCCATCCTCTGACCTGATGGAAATGGAGCCTGACACCATGGAAACAAAATCAGTGACTGACTCGGTGGTTTCTTCGATTTCAGTTGTTCGCCTGCAAGTTGACCAGCACAGGGAAGAGAGTGCAGGTGTTGCCATACATGTGGATGGTGGCCTCCAACCCGCACATGCTGTACATCCACCTTCCCTGTCCCTGGAGGACACTGTGCCCCTTCCTGGGGGACAAAGCAGAGCTGCCCAGGAAAGTTCCTCCATGAAGACAAATACTGGGTGGCCGAATGAGGAGAGCTGTGTGGCCACCAGAGGCTGGCTGGCCCAAGTGGCACTGGAGGAGGTGGGTGAGGCAATGGCAGCCCAGCACAAAGCTGGCGATGTACTCCCATCCCTGGGCCAAGAGGTGACCTGCCCCACTAATGAACACACACTGCTGCCATCAGCTCATGGCCCCAGTGTGGCCTCTGCCCATGAGGTGGCCCAGGACCAGGAACTGCTCCCCACTGCTGGAAGGCAAGCAGCATGTGAGGAGCCTGTCCTGGCTCCCTGTGAAGAAAGAAAAGCTAATCATGACAGCTGTGCTGAAAACAGCAGTGACAGTGCCTTGTCACAGGCAAAAAGCAGACAAGTGATAAACAAGGAGGCCTTATGGAAAGCGCACAATAAAAATCATGTGGGTTTTCCAGATGCAACCCAGCTCTTAACAGATTGCAGCAGCACTTCTGGAGTTATAACTCGCCTCTCCTGGCTCTCACTTGGGATGAGGACAGACCTCATATCACCCAGCCCATCTCAGGAAAGGGTAGATATCCCACTGGAGCTTTTGGCCTCTCAGAAGACCAGTGGGTGCCTGGGGGCTGATGCCGTCAGAAGGGAGATGCAAACATCTCCAGCTGGACCACCCTTTGAGAAAGAGTTGGTAAGCAGCCAGGGGCTGGATGAAGGAGAGCCCAGAAAAGATGCAGGAAATGTGGCTCACAAAGAGCCAGGGCCTGTTCAGACTCCTCTTCCCAGAGAACAGGCTACTGAGGTGGGGAAAGACTCTCTTCTGACTCCATCTCTAGGGCTTTCCATCTCCTCAGGCCCAATTCCCCTGGGCTCACTGGGGAAAAGAGCAGGAGACCATGGGGCTTCAAAACACTCCTTCCTCTGCTTTAAGCACAAGAAGGATGAGCAGGCCCCTTCTGAGCCCATCATGACCAGGTCCTTGGGTTTTTCCACAATGAAGAAGACGTCTCCACCACAGCTTGGAATGGACAAGTGCAGCTGTCGGCTGTCCTATATCAGCTGCTTCCACAGGCCTGATGACAAGGGGGAACGTGAAACCACTATCCCCATGTGCAGCATTTTTCTGGGGCCCCTCACGACCCCACCATCCAGCAGCCGCAGTCTTCCTGGGACCCCTGTGGGCAGTTACCCAGTCTCCATTGCTAGGGATGTGGCATGGTGGGACCCTCATGTCCAAGCCCTCAGCCAGCTGAAGGACCAAGCACGGATGAGCCCTGCAGATTTCTCCTGCTTCCTAGCCTACACCACAGAGCTTCAGGAGGTTGTGGGGAAGCTCTGCAGGAACCGGGCAACCCACCTGCAAGATCAATGTGCAGAGCAGGGTGCTGAGAGCAAGGGTGCCCTTGGCTTAGCCTCCCGGGACCTGCTGTCCAGTTGCCAGGAGCTCCTGAAAACAGAGCAGCCCCTCAAAGAGCTGCAGCGTGTGCTGAGGGTGACATTCGACCACCTGGTTCAGCTGGCAGTGGCCTGCTTCCAGGTGACGCACTGCCAGTTGTGCAGGCAGAGGCAGCAAGAGCTCGGGGCTGCGCTCGTGGACGTGGTGGGCACCTACCACCAGCTTGTGCAGGCTGTTCACCAGCAGCTTTGTAGGCAAGACTGCCCGGATCTGGGTGCCAAGCTCCTCGCCCGCCAACACACAGCTCTTACAGCTGCCATGTTTTGTCTCCTGCAGCAGTTCAGGGTACCCCCATTGTTGTGATGGGGCTGTTTGGTGGTACACGGGTGCACTGGGTGGTGAAGAGCCCAGCCATGTTCCCTCTGTCCACTACCAGGCTCTCCCCCACAGGATGTTTAGCCCCACAGCTCGAGATTGGTCACAGAAGTATGTGTCCATGTGTTTCGGCTTAGCTCCACCAAGAGCTGCCCTGGCTGGGGGGGTGGTCATGGGGGAGGGCATGCTGCCCTCCAGCCTAGCTTTGTGTAATTCTGCATACACAATCCGTATGTAATATGCAAACCCATAGAGTACTTCAGTGGCTTATGTATCTTGCTTGGGGCTTGTCCCTCACCTCCCAAAGGCCTTGCAGGTGGCCAGTCTCAAGGTGTTGTCTTAGCTGCCTTCTGTTGCCTGTGGAGAAGGACGAGCCTTTTGGCCTGCCTTTCCTCCGGCTCCTTACTCTCCAGGCAGACTCTGAAGTAGTGACATCAAATCCCACCTTGGCCCGACATGAAGGAAGCCAGGCTGCTTTGTCCACCTTCTGTGGCTGAGGATGTGTCTGGACTTGTAATGGAAAACTCTTTGGGAACAAAGCTTTGCTATATTTAACTGCTTTTTCTTGCAAGGGCTGAAGAGAGGGTTGTCCCAGGTGAGGGAGGCAACACCATATCCTGCTCTTTTGATATTTCTGTGTGTCAACCAGCTCTTCTGTTTCTGTTTGCTGATGCTTGAGAAATTCCCTGATTAACCCCCCCCACGCTACTTACGGAGCTGTGTCTTCCAGAAGGAATGAGTAAGTCCTGAAACTGAAATGCCACCTTCACAGCTGTGGACATGACCCATTATGCTGGCCTCCCTAGGCAAGGTCAAGCCCCTTTTCCCAACCTTGTCAGTAGCTCTTCTTCCATCGTGTGGTATATCCCTAGCTAGGTATGAGCTGTTTGCCCTTAAAGGTCATCTAGCTGTGCATCCCTAGTGAATCAGCACTCTAGTGCTGGAGGCATGACCTGGTGAAGAGGGCAGAGGCAGGTCCCTGATTGCTGGGATCTAACTTAGGGGCTTGTTTGGGAGCAGCTGGCTTTCTCTGAGGGATGCCTGCAGCAGGTGTGCTGCGTGACGAGCTGTCACTGCAGCAGGTCAGTTGCTCTAGCCTACCGAGTGTGCTCAGGATGGAGGGGTCTGCACCAGGCAGCAGAGGAGCATGGGCGGGCCACAAGAGATGGCCAGCTCTGTCCATGCACACATCTCCCCAAGCACCAGGGCAGCGTGGGGACAGGATTGTCCTGTGGCTCTGTAACATCTGAGGGAGGCCACCCCCTGCTTTTTGCTCATTCTTTAATGCTTCCAGAGGGACTAAAGGGCAAGTCCTTGCAGCTGAACCCTGGTGTGGAAGAAGATGGAAGCTGGGGCAGAAGGGAGTGCTGCAGCACCCCTAAGAGACCTCCCTAACCAGGCAAGCAAACACCCACAGGAATTCAGCAACCTTTAGCAGCCCTACACAAAACTCCCTACAGCTGCTACTCTAACAGTGTGCCTACAGGCAGCAAGCTAGCTAACCAAGGGCAGTCTGCTTTCCTGGCCGCACAGGGACAGGGTGACCAAAGTACCTTCAGCCACTGGGGAGGGTAGCACTGCCAGGTGGTTTGGGTTAGCATATGCTGCTGCCTAGCAAACTCAGGGGCTCAATTAGAAAGTTGAAGTCTCTTACACTGAAGACCAAGTGCAGACCTCTAACTACACACCAACAGCTGATGAGGAGGGGGACGTGAAGAGTAGTAACTGGAAGAGCCTGTGGGACACCAAAAGAGCCCATAGGGCACAGCAAAGCAACAGGCACTGGCAAACACAAATTCAGCTTATATGGGGAGCAACACCCTGTGTCCACCAACAGCTTCTGTTGCAGCAGGTCCTACTGACACAGTCTCATGGGCGCTGAATTCCAGGTGTTGTAAAAGGCTCTTGATGTGAAGAAGAAATGAAAACACATAAGCATATGAGATAGTAATTTACCTCAGAAGACCTTCAAGTCCTTCCACTGGTGGTTAGACATAGTCATTGACCATGAGGTTTGTTTTTTTTTTTTCTAGCAACAATGGCTGAGGTAACATAACTTAGATGCATCAAAAATGCTTTCTGCTGTGGCCATGAAATACATCACTGCTCTTTGTGCAGGGCACAGTCAAATCCCAGGTATCTTTCCAGCAGGAACATCAGGGTTAGTGAACTTCCCATGTCAGGGTGTGATGATGTACCATGCATGCATCAGTAACTATAAGGATGCAATGGGAGTTTAAGAGTAAACATTTTATTTTAGCTTACATGCACAGGATTAGCTATAGGCTTCAACAACCCACTAAATCTTCAACTGGTTTAAAGTTGTTAGGACATGGCACACCTGGGAACTGTTTCTCCGTTGGGGAATGACTTCCCATCTTGTGTTCCCCAACTGGAACAGCACTGTCCTTTTCCATGGGAAGGAATTTTCCCATGGAAAATTCCAGTGAGCCAGTGAGCTTTGCCATTCTAACTTCACCCAACTTACTGTTTAATCAAGACGGATGAAATACCTTAAAGCTCTCCTCCCTGTCCCAGAACAAGTGTACATGCAAGAGTCAGAAACACCCTAACAAGCATCTGCAAAGAAGCAAAACTGAACTTCTGTCAGTTTTTACTTGATCCCAGGGCTCCATCGGCTTTTGTTTTCTCTTCAAGGGGCAAAGTCATTTCCAGCATTGTACTGCTAAGGTAGAATGTGTCAGTCTTGACAAGGTCCTCAAGATTTAAGCAGAGCTGTTTTCTCTATGCACATTCATGCTGGTGCCTCTGCTTGAAATTGGGAGTTTGCCTCTCTTGTCTGCACAGCTCCTTAACATCACAAAATAAACAGTTTTCTTGTGCATTGTCATGCTTAGGTATTTCCACTTATTTCACTGCATCTGGTAGCACATAGCCTTTTCCAGAAGAAACTCCAGCTTTCAAGGCTGCTGGCCAGCTTCGGGTCTCATAGTAAGTTGATAAGACATCAAAGACTGTCAGGAACAGAGAGATGTACCATGCTGTGATACTGGTATCAATAGCAAGCTCTGTAATACACACCCCACTGGCTGCAAAACATCAGGAAATTATAATAGCTGATGCCAGAGAAGGTTAGCATGGGGTTTGCATTCCCTCTCATTTAAAATCTGATGAGCAAGTGTGTGAGGCAGCTCATCTAGGAGCAGATGACTACTTTGAAGATGACCTTGGTGAGCTCTGGCTAGGAAAAGCAGAGCCTGTGTCAACTAAAGCAAGGTGCCCCCAGTCACCATTTTGACTAATCTGTACTGCCCATCTGTGCTGCTGATGACAGTACACTCATGGTGGCTTATACCTACTGTGCTTCCACCATTGCTTCTCAGATGCTGTGTCTCCACATCAGGGCTTCCTTGGGACACACAGTGGTCTCTAGCAGCTAGGCTGGGTGCTTTGCAGAGCCCTCCACTACCTCCTCTGCCTTGTGCTGACAGAGATGGGAACAAAGTCCTTATGCCAGAGGTAAGAACTTACTAGAGTTAGCCTAGGACATGAGCCCCTCCACAGTCCCTAACAGGGAGGTGTTCACGTTACAAAGCCACAGGCTGCCAGCAGAGGTGGAGGAGCATGAGCACATCCACTGATGTGACCAGGTGGCCCAGCCCATGGTCATGACATGGAGCCATCACAGTGGTACAGCACACAAACACCCCACCATGGTGTTTTGAGCCTTGCCTTGATTGAGCCTGACACAGGCCTGACAACTTCTGTCCTTCTCCCTTGCCTGGGACTTTGTGGGACTTGTAGCAACAGCAGCCTCCTCACATCTCCCCACACTAAGTGTTCACTGCTTTGTGCAAAGCAAGAGTGATGCAAGTCCTGCTCCTGAGAATGGGCTGATGCAGAGCACACAAGACATTAAAATGGAGGCAGCAGAGATAAAACTTAGTAAGAGAAACCTCTGCTCCCAGTGTTCCCCCCATTACTCAGCACCAGGCCTCCATTTTGAAAACTCTGCTGCTTGATAGCCTCCCCCCTCCTCCAGCCCAGGCAAGTGACAGGAGATGGCTCAGCCTCTCACCTTGATTAATTGCTAGTGTCTCGGAGTGGTAGTTCTTGGTGTTAACAGTTTTCACCATGTACTCGCGAATGGGGAGGCGGGCTGTTTGCAAGGACTGCTCTTGTGCCCTTTGCAGAGTCAGCTTCTGCGAGGGAAACAAGAACAATGTGTACAAACTTGCACATGCATAGCATGCACGTCATTTTGGGTACAAGCAGCTATGAAGCTGAAAACTGTCCTGGGGCTCCTTTCACCCACACTGCTACAGTCTCTCTCAGCCTGGTGCTGGATCCAGGCAGAACCTTGAGGAAAAACGGATGGTGGTGCAGTAGTGATGTCTCAAATCAAGGCAGCAGCAGCACTGGGTGCTATCAATGGGATGTCTCTGCTCTCATGAGAGAATGGAGCAGCCAGCACTTTCGGGTTCCAACAGGCTACAACCCACCTTGTGAATACTTTCATCCACCAGGCCTCCGAGGACGTACACTTTATTTGGATCAATATCTTCAAGGACTAGAAACAAGATAAGCACTTGCTCACCACCATACAACAGTAAAATGCTGCACTACACCATTCCCCAGGCAAGACCCCACTTCCATGAGAAAGCTGTGGCCAGAGTCACCCTTCACCCTGGAGCCTCAGACCGCGAAGGAGGCTGAGGCTTCAGAGACAGAAGTGTCTGCCTGAACCTGCAGGTAGACTGAAAGGGGGAGATCAGACGTAGGCTGAAAGCATGAAGTGCCCAGAGATACCATACATTGCTCCCCTTTAACGGTTGTCTGTTCTGAGATGTGGCTCATCTGGTCAGTCTGATCCCAGTCTGCTCCGCAGACCCCTCCCCACTGTCAAGGTGACCTACTAAAACCTTCCCCCACCCTTACATGATTCTTTATCAGAGTAAGGCACTTGCGTAAAACAAGAAAGGGATCTATGTCCCCAAGAAGATGTGGCCGGTTAGAAATGGAGGAAGAGGAAAAAACAAACACAGCAGCAAATTAACCAATAAAGGGAACGTTGTAGCTTCTGTGTTATTCCAGAAAAAGATGTAATTTAGACTGTACTCAAAACTGCCACAGCATCTCCACTTTGCCACTTCGCAGTATTACAAAATACAGGCGTGATCTGCTGCAGATCACACACAGCCCTGACTCAAAACCTCATTCCCTGTCAAAACAGACTGAGATATGAATAGATTTAGCATCAGACCTAAGTACACAGTATATCTCATGCAATTTGAGAGAGTGAATGCTTGGAATTGAATCACCTGAAGTATGAAATAGTCTCAAAAAGAAAAGCTTAAAAATCAACCTTTTGCCCTAGTTTCCCTGTGCCTAAAGCAAGTAAACTATTTACCATTCTCAGAGTCAGGAGTGAGATAAACAATTGCATCTAAAGGAAACAGGTCCAAGTAACTTTCTTGAGTTGTATCCATCTGAAAAATGCAAAACAGGAAGAGAACAAGCCCATTAGCCCAAATTCCATCTACCAGAGCAAACCCCACTCTCAGACACAGAAATATACCAGAACTGACACTACTGCCTTACATGTTTAAACTCCTACAGCTAGAGTGTTTTTTTTAATTTGGAAAATGTTTCTGTATGGGCACTGAACAATACATATCTCAAAATCCATTAAATTATCTTCTCATCAAAATCCCTAGACATGGTTTGAAGAAGGGAGCTCAGCAATAATTACCTAATTTTAAATGAGATTCTAATTCTTGAGAGATTGAGGAATTTCCACTTCAGGTGGTTTTCTCCCCTCACTGTTACCAGGTGCAGCCCCACATGCGCTGTAGAACACACAGCTCAATGTCACTGCCATAACCTGTACGGGTGGGTCTTGTGCTTGAGTCGCACCAAGCTTGGTACAAAAACTCAGGGCAGGAACGTGTGACCTACCCAAAGCCTGACCAAGCTTATGTGTCTGCCTCTCCCCAGTATCACAGGTCTCTTTGCAGAAGTAGCATATGGAGAAGGAATTCTCCTGCAGGCAGAAGGGACACAAGCTCTAACCAGAAGGCCTTGCACATCACCCCATTATCTCTCAGTTCTTGTCTCCTGCCAAAGGGCAAGAAGATCTGACCTTAGCCACTGTCACTGAACTGCATTCCCACCATCCGAGCCCACCTCAGCCTGTCTTGGGTCAACGCTGAGGGTGAGCACTGTGGTCACAGGGTGCTATGAGCCTTGAAAACAATGTGGTCAGAGACCCTTACCAAATAATTGGAGAAGCCGTCGTTCATGCGAAAACACTCCTCATAGATCAACGAGCCCACCACAAACTCTGTCAGACAGAGCCAAAATGGCTTCTCGGCTCGCCTGTTTGCCCCGTAGAGTCTCCTGATCTGAGAGGCGAGGCGGCTTGTTTCCTTCCAACAAATAACAAGCACAGTGACCCACAAGTGTAGGGGCAGGGGGGTAACATGGCTCCATTCAGGGCCTGCAGACATCCATCATGCCCATGTCACCAGCTGGTTGCTAAGACTCTGAAAAGGCCGTTCCTGGGGAGCACAGCTCAGCTGCCTCTGGGTCTCAAGGAAACCCAGTGAGCTGGGTGTGCAGCCAGCCAGTGCTGGAGACCAGGTACTCACAGGCAGGCCTGGGGGTGGAGAGACAGGCAGAGATGGGAAGGGCCATCATTCTCCCAGAGGCTGAGCTCAGGAGAGCTGCTGTTTGTGCACCCTCACACATCCCAGCTCTAGCCGAGCTGGAGTTTCCCAGCACAGCTAGAACAAACCAGTGACCTGCCCCAGCCACCTCCTCTCCCTCAGGCCTGTTTCAGAGGGCTCGCCTCTGCTCCCTCCCTGCAAACAGCACCTCCCAGAAACAGCACAGTGCAGGACGCTTTCTGGAGCGGAAGCAGAGAGGGACAGAGGGATGAGAAGAGAAGCCACCAGGCCGTGTCAAGGCTATGATGGGGCATGTCCCCAGGGTGTCAGAGAAGCTTCCACACCGTGGAGAGGGACTGCACCGGCAGACAGCAGCAGCACCGGTGTAGAAGGGCGTAGCAGGCAAGGGCCCCCATACCTTCTGTGTCATACAGTCAGCCACGCCAAGGTCCACGCAGAGCCGGGGCCCCGACGCCCTAGCCTCCAGAAGGCGTTCCTTTGCGAGGGCAGCCGGGGCCCTCCTGCCGTCCCGGCTGGCAGCCCCTGGGAGAAAGAGCAGAAAGAAGGCAGCCTAGGCCCCGGCGAGGC